GTCACGTACTCCCAAACAGGGAAACCGCTGGCTGCATAAGCTCATATTTAACTTGCCTAAATGATGTTAGCTGGATGGGCACGCTAGCTGGCTGCATTAGCTTGAGCTTAACCTTGCCTAAATGATATTTAGCCACATATAAAAATTTCAATTGTTTCGTGTTTTAATAACTATCATAATGTAAATTAGAACATGCGTGGGTAAATCCTGCTGATATTATGAAGGACATTCATTTGACGAGGCACCATTAGGGTGGTTTCTTTATGAATATCAGTTGGTTGGAAAGTCGGTTGGTTGGTCGACATTTGTTGCGAATGATTAATCTGACAAGAAAATCATTATCTTTAAGGCCTCTGGAGCCCAATGTACAACCCAGATTTATAAGTTTCCTTTTGTAAGTGAACGTAAACACATGCATCACTGATTGATGCTTGTCTTGTATCTTGCTTTCCACAGTCGTCAACAGTGTCATCAGTTCATTCGTACATTCACACTCTTGTCTATCCCCTCTAGAAACCCCCCATGCCCTTGGAATTTCAATCGTAAGTACCACTGTGCCTTTGGATTTCTAGTTCAAAGAACCCCCCCTAGCCCTTGGAATTCCAAAAACCTGCCAGTGGTATAGGTAGGGATATTTTCTGGAATCACCCAGTTTCTTTCAAAATTAAGAATTGCTACTTTCTGGGATCTTTAGAGATCTTAGAAATTGAAGTATAATTCTTCTGGAACTAATAAACTACATGCTGTATTAAAAGAAAAAAAACGGTGTTGGCATTATTATCCTGTAACATTTAAAATATTAAATGATCCCTACCGCATGAATGTTTAACCATTTTTCATGTGTTTTACAGTCAAATAGTCAAAATAGGGGCCAAAGAGTACAATGAAACATGAAATCTTATCAAATTTTGAGTGGCTAACTCTATGAGCGGGCAAGAGAAATCGAATCCTATGCTGTGATTAACTACCCAAGCGGGCAAAATAGTGCTTTTCCCACAAGAAAGTAGCATTCTTTTTCCATATAATAAATCCTTTATTGACCAAGCTTGTTTGGTCAAGATGGCCGGTGGATTTTTGCATTCTTTTTTGCATGTTTGTGGACCTCGACTCCATCTTGGTCCATTAGCATGAACAATATCTAGCCATCTTGACCCTGCACTTGGTCAATAACCCATATATGTCAGTCTGAAATAGTACTTGTTTTACATGACTAACCCTTATTATTTGTCACTGATGTTGAATCACAAGCTAACTGATTTAGATTTGAATTCATAGAGACAATTGTTTCGTTAACTGTGGTTGATTCAGACAAAAGCCATTTTGTTTAACTTTGTGTCTTCTTTGATTTGTGTGCCTTCTAGGTGGATATGGATAAGGTGAACCTAGATGTTATAAAACCTTGGATAACAAAGAAGTTGATTGAGATACTTGGAGTTGAAGATGATGTGGTTATGCAGTATGTTCTTAATATGCTAGAATCAGAAAAGGTAACTTGTATTTACTGGTAGATAAGATATTTCAATAAACCAATATCTTAATCCCTTCAGATCATGTGAGGGGATGGCAGCAGGTGCTTAACTGTGTAGTTATGCAGAAAGCAAGAGAAAAGGAACAAAAGTGCTTGGGGAGAATATTCAGATATGGACGTACTGTACAGCTTCCTGTGATGTCAAAATGCATTAGACTGAATAAAAAATGTGTTACAGGGCTTGACTTTGAGGAAAAAACCTTGGGGCCAGCTGGCCCCTAAGTTTTCAGGTTTAGTGGCTAGCAAAAGTATTTCAGTGAAAAGTGTGAAAAGTTAGTCGCTAGTGAAAAAAATTTGATCTTAAGGTTGAGCTCTGTGTCAAAATACTTTGTGCAATAAGGAGGTAAAAGTATTTACATCATGAAAAAACTCCATGGCATTGCAAAGGCCTGTGTTATGTCTCTGCTACATAGTTACAAATTTCCTTGCATAAGTGATAATAGCAAACATCATGGGTCTATATAGTGTTGCATTTTAATCAGTTCATATGGAATGTTAACATTTGGTATATTGAGTATATTTTCCTGTTTAGAGTCCTGATCCAAGATCCATGCAGATAAATATAACTGGTTTTCTGCAATCCAAAAATGCTCGGGAATTTATGAAGGAGTTGTGGAGTCTGCTTGTAAGTGCGCAAGAAAATATTGGAGGCATTCCTTCAACATTCTTGGAGAAAAAGAAAGAAGAAATTAAACAAAGAAAGGTGGGTTTTAGAAGAACGTTTCGGTTTAAATATATCTTTGGTTTAAAATTTCTCAAACCAGTTTGATGTCTCTTATTCAAGTTTACCTCACCTCATCTATCTTCTTCACGCTCTGTTGCGCATAAGGCCGCAATACTCTTCTTCCACTAGCTTCTGTCCTTAGCCAGAGCTCTCGCTTCTTCCCAGGACTTCCAGCCCGCCATTGCCCTCACTTTCTCCACAGTACAGCACCAGGTTGTTTTGGGGCGGCCGACTTTCCTTTTGCCTATAGGTGTCCAGACGAGTGCTGTGGCACAGTGATACTCTCTGGGCATCCTAAGAACGTGTCCTAAAAACCTCCATCTCCTTTTCTTTACTTCCATACTCATCTTCGTACATCCTGTTCTTTCGTTAAGCTCATCAACTGATACTATGTATGGCCAGAATATGCCCTGGCTTCTTTTGAGGCACTGGTATTGGAAGGAGTTTAGTTTTCTATTGTCTTGGACATTGGTCTTCTGTGTCTCACTTCCATACAACAGGACTTGCTTGACTAAGGTGTTAAATAGCCTGATCTTGGTCCTGCTATTGTACTGCCTCGAGATCCATATTCTCCTTAGCTTTCTAAACGCCGCTTTGGCCTTTCTCAACCTGCTATTCATATCTTTGTCACAACCTCCCTCTGTGCTTACAACAGCTCCTAGATAGGTGAAATCCTTGGTTTCTTTGATGATGTTGCCATTTTGGAACTTGATTGGCTCTGTGTTCTTGCAGGTCAGCCTCATGACTTGGATTTTGGTCTTACTGATGTTTAAACCTACTCTCTGGGCAGCTTCTGTCAGCTTGTCTGTCTTCCTTTGCATCTGATGTTGGGTGGTGGAGATCAGAGCAATGTCATCGGCAAAGTCAAGATATTCTAGTTGGTCCATGAACCTCCATCTTATTCCGGTGTTGGCTTGCTTAGTCGTCTTGCACATTATCCAGTCAATGGCAAGGAGAAACAGGAACCCAGACATCACACACCCTTGCTTGAAACCTGTTTTGACTTTAAACCACTCAGATGTGTGGCCTCCATCGAGAACTGCACACTCACTATCGTGGTATAGAAGTTGGACTACTCTTATGATCTTTTCTTGTATGCCATACGTCCTCATGATGTCCCAGAGGCTGGGTCAATGCAACGAGTCAAAGGCTTTCTTGAAGTCAGTGAAATTAACAATTAGGGGGGCCTGCCACTCACATGACTGCTCGATAATATTGTGCAAGATGAATATTTGTTCTGTGGTGCTTCTTCCTTGTCGGAATCCTGCTTGCTCTGCTCTTAGCCTCTTATTAGTTCCATTCTTCAAGCGCTCGATGAGGATCTTACCCAACACTTTACTAGCTATGACAGGAAGCGTTATACCTTGCCAGTTTGTGCACTCTCTTAAATTACCCTTCTTTGGTAGCTTAACAATAAGACCCTTCAACCATTCGTATGGTATCACTTCGTTTTCCCAGATCATCTGAATGACTTCATGCGATTTCTGTGTAGCTGTCATGATGTCTGCTTTCAACAACTTGGCAACGATGTTATTGACGCCAACTGCTTTTCCATTTTTTAGGGAACTTATCGCATTCTTGACTTCTCGATTGCTGATTGGTAACAGTTTTTATCTCCTCGATCTCGGGAACTTCGTCAGCAGTTATCACAATTGGGTTCACCAGTGGTGGTCTGTTTAAGATCTCTTTGATATGTTCTATCTATCTAGCAAGCCTGCTGGAGTCGTCTGTGATGGTTTTACTGTCCTTGTGGTTGATAGCGGTGTTCACGTGGGGTCTCTCATTGCAGATGGTCTTTGTTATGTTGTATAGAGTCCTCATGTTCCCCATATCCGCTGCATTCTGTGCGTCATCCATCAGGCTGTCAAACCACTCTCTTTTATCAGAACTCAATTCTTCGTCACCTCCTTGTCTTTACTTCTGTGTTTTGCACGTAGTTGTTGTTGGATTCTTTTGGACTTGGCATTTTCTGCTTTACCCATAAGCTTTTTCTGCTCCTCGATCTTCGCCCAAGACTCAGGGCTAATCCATGGTTTGCTTCTTTTCCTTTTTCTACCCAGTACCTTCTCCGCTGTGTTGTTATAGGCTTTGTCGAATTGGGTCCACTAGCTATTGATGTTGTGATCATCATCTGTAGTTTCCAAAACGGCAAATTGATTACGAAGTTCTAGGGTAAACTCTTGTCTAATTGCTTCATGTCTGAGCTTGTCAGCGTCGTACGTAATGCGCGAGCTGGTTGGTTTTGTGATCTTTTTCAGCGCAAGTCGTACACGGGTTCGAACTAGATGGTGATCAGAGGTAACATCTGCTCCTGGCATTACTCTTGTGTCAAGGATGGATCTCCTGAACTGCTGGTTAACTAGGGGATGTCCAGGTGTTTTTATGATAGTACCAGTGATTATCAAGTTGTACATCTCGCAGAAATCTATCAGCTTTTCTCCATTGCCATTCATTATTCCAGTTCCATGCTTACCCATAACCCTCTCCCTATTATGGTTAGATGGACCAACTTAAGCATTTATGTCTCTAGTTATTAAAAGAAGGCCATGCTTGTTCACCTTCTCCACAATGCTTTGTAGCTGTTCATAAAACAACTCCTTGTCCTTATCTTCTGCATCCAATGTGGTAGCATAAGCATGGATGATAGTGAGTTTTACGTACTTTGAATAAAATCTGGCCATTATTATTCAATCGTTGATTAGTTGCCACTCCTTTAACGCGGACTACACTGGCTTTGACATCATTACTGCAACTCCACACCGATGCGATCCATCTTCCTGTTCAGAATAAATAACCGACTCTCCAGATGTTAACTTCAACTTTCCCAACTCTGTCCATCTGCATTCGCTGATCCCTAAAATGTCAAGATTGTAATTCTGCATTTCTTTCGAGATTTGAGCTGATTTTCCTATCGCATACAGGGTTCTTACATTCCATTTACCCATGTTTAGCAAATCTTTGGGCTTCAGAAGTGACTCTATCGGTCGGCGGGCTTCACAGTGGCTTTCACCCTCTGATGTTCAGGCTCTGGTAGTCCGTAAACACGATATCACAATCCTGGGGTACCTGACCAGTGTCTTCTTCGGTCCCATACAATCCCGGAAAAGTACTCGCAGTTTCCGTAATATGACGTGTTTTACAGGGAAGGGTTATTGGCCCTTCGCCCAACCCCCAACCTGGAGGGCCAGGTGCTGCAGTTCATCTGACCTTTCACCTATTATTCAAGTTTAGGGAAATAAAAATCAAACTGGTTTGAAAATTGTTAACTGAAAACAAATGTAAACCACAGTAAGAACATTGCTTTGTGTACTGTTGGAACAGTGGAAATGAAACTAGTGATGAAAGGATTTCCTTCTAAGTTGTCTTGTGCTTGATTACATCACAAACTCAAAATTCATCACCAAGCCTAATTGAAGCAAAATTTTCTCAACTTCTGGCACTGTCATGTTGTTTCACATTGGTATTCTTTTCATCCTTGCTGGTTTGGGAATTTGTTTGTGACAAAGGAGACTATTCTCTGAAGAAATTCTATATTTTTTCCATATTACATGTTTTTAGCTGGAACAGGAGCGTATTCAAGCTAACTTACAGAGATATCAAGGAGATCAGCAACAAACTGAGCCTGACAGTACAGCAACAGATGACAATGTAGGTAATGAAAATGGATCAGCTGCTGCAACAGGTGACATCAGTGAAGAAATACGAAAAGCCAAGGAAGTGGCACAAGCATTAGCAGGAAAAGATGTGAGTATTTGATTTTATGCTTTCCTTTTATTGTTTTGCTGATTTCTGTGAAAATGAATTACATTCCAGTTGGAAAATTCAAAAGCATGACTCTTCAAACCCTAAGATTTGTATATTGATCCTAAACCGGCAACATTTGAGAACATAATGGGTTTGCAATTCAATCAGTGTCTGTGGATGTCCAGACTTGATGAGACAAGATGACATTAGGTCCTTAACAAACAAATGTTAACACAATTCCTTATGTCAGGTGGCCACATTTTTCTAAGTATGAGTCCTCTTTCACATGAAAATTGGTGGGGTAAGAAAATTGTTTTGTGTATGTTGAGCACTTCAGCATAATGGGCTGGCCCATTAGCTCAGTGGATGGTCCAGCTCATATACATGTACCTGTTATCTATTTAACAAGGGCATCAAAGCCAAATACAAAGACTGCTCAGTAAATGAATAGTGGATCAACTCTTGATCTTCATGACAGATGAAAAACTTTATCCACTGACAAGTTGCAAACTTAAAATAAGCTTAAAGCAGTTTCCCTGAGTTGGAAGGACAAGGGTGGCTTGATGTGAGATGGAAAGGCATTTTGCATTTTGAATGCACATATAAATAATTAAGAGTACTTAAAGTACTCCTCCCTTGGCATTCATGTTTCTCTTAGTTTGACAGAATGATGATTCAATTCAGCCTTATTTAAAGCATCCTTTATATTAATTATTGTTCCCAGGATGATTTATGAGTATCAATTTTTTGGAATCCCTTCCCCCCACCTGGCCTGAATAACTATCCTAACTGCAAGTTACTTGTAAAGAGGTTTACTATCTTCTACTTGGATTTTTACATCAGTGTATTTTGTACAATTATATCCAAGCATCCTCAAAATGAATGCTTACCAGAAATTGTCCCTGTTGTTGCTTGAGAGTGCCTTAGCCACAAATCTGTTGTCAAGATGTCATTTTCCACAATTTGATCACCACCAGCCAAATAACGAGCTTTTGCTCTAGGTACCTTTGTAAGAATATCCCTCTCTTGCAATGAACAGAAAAATAATCATTCATGAAAATGATATTATTCTGCTGGTTGATTTGAATTTGCACATTATGGAAAGTCTTTCAGAAATTCTTTTGATCCATGATATATGTTAGGTGATTTTATGTCTGCAAGTTGAAGCACTTGATTTGCTGAATAAGCAATCATGAAAGTGACTGGCTAAACAGTCACTGAAGTAAAGCATGGCTTTTTTTTCTCCATGTGGAATAGAATCACTGTATTATTACTGTAAGGTAAGCATGCATCGTCCCAGTTGTGTTGATAGAAGTTGAATTAAATGCAGCTGACTAATGGCTTATTTCACTTTCTAAGTGTCCTGTTTTTTCAATCAAATGTTTGAAGTGTCTGTGAATTATTTATACTTGTCTTTGTTTGTGTCTTGTGCATTACAGAACAGCCCCAAAAGAGGATACAAGAAATCAAAGCGAAATTCTGACAACTCAGACAGTGATGATAGTGATGATGAAAATGCAGCTAGAAAAAAGAAAGAGGCAACCAAAAATACCGACGAAAAAGTAGAGAGGGCTGAGCCTTCTTCAGCAGTGAAAGTGAAAAAGGAACAAGAAGTAGAGGAGAGATCACCAAGCAAGTTCCTTCAACCAAAATGGAGATCACGCCTCTTGTCATCGGCTGCAAGACCAGCTGACAGAGATAAACCAGGATGGGACAAAGAGCATATGCAAAATGTTGCCCTTACTAAAACACCAGAGGTGAATGTTGTGTTAACTGGAGACTCGATTATCAAAGGCCTGAGTCGTTATTCTTGGATCTGGAAAAAGTACTTTTCCCCCCTCAAGTCCCTCAACTTTGGCATTGGCGGCGACAGAACACAGCACGTTTTGTGGCGACTACAAAATGGGGAATTGGAGTGTGATCCTAAAGTTATAGTGATACTTTGCGGCACAAACAATGTGGACAAAAATGGTGCAAGTGAAATTGCCCAGGGTATACTGGCCATTGTTGATTTCATTCGGAACAAAAAGCCAAAAGTGAATATCGTTGTCTGTGGGATTCTTCCAAGGGATTTGTATCCTAGTTCACGGCGAGACAAGATTGGTGATGTCAACGAGGAGCTGTTTGAGTACATAAGCTTTTCAGAAGAGCTGCGTGATGAGAATGTGTTTTTCCTACCACCAGAGAAAGGCTGGACTGTCAAGGGAGACATGCTTGATGAATCCTTGTATTTCACAGACCACTTGCACCTTGTGGAAGACGGAGATGAGAAGCTTGCTAAATCAATTGTTCGTTTGGTGAAAGAGCTTCTTGAGGCTGACAAGACTGAGGAAGACAGCTCTGTTCCTCACAAGAAGCAGATCAAGGTACATAAATCTTCAGTTTGTTTTCAGCTGGATCTGTCAGCTGAAGCAACTGATGTCAGTATAAAATTGTATTGGCATCAAAACACTGCCCAACTAAAGGTGTAACTTGCTTAAAGCCACTTCTGTTTGTTGACAATACTTTCTGTTCTCTTTCATGTTTGCAAGGGCTGTTGTTTACTTGTTTGTCATACACACTTACGAGCAATGTTCTTTTCACTGTAATAGGTTTCCTGAATGTAGTTTTTTTATTGTAAAACCATGGCATTTTTTGTTGAACATCTTAGAATTTTAGATCAGTTGACAGTCACAAAGTTAGGGCATGTAGAAGCCAGCTGCAAGTGAAAATCACCTTTTACTTTATGATCTCAGCCGGCTTCAAAATCTGACACCTACTCCAACAGATAAAACCGTCTACTTGAAAACTTTGTGACAACCCTGCATGTACTAGTTAGCAATGCAAGTTAGGCTTTCCTCTCCCCTTCGCCCTCAGTCTCAATTCTCAAAACATCATTGAACCATGATTACATATAGCCCTACTTGTGGTCACGTAATGTTACAGACACCATCAAAAGGTGACGATACTCTGGTTAGCGTCTTGGTTTGACCATCCCTTAGCCAAGGCTTAGCGATATGTTGTCTAAAGCTGCGATAACACGATGCAATTTTGAAGCCGTCTTTCATGATTTTTTCTTGGTTGTAAAACAAGAGGGGAAAAACTCAATTTTTTGTTTAGTTAAAAAAATTTCTACTCTACATTTCGTACATTTTTAGTCGCATTTTATTGCCTGTATCTATTGTTGACATCAGTTTCCGGTTAAAGTGATTCAACATTCTGTACTTACTTGAGTGGGAAGGGGTAACTCTCAACCTGGCTTCATTATCCTTTAATCCTATTTCATGATGACCAATTTTACGTTATGGTAATTGATAATTTCACTACATTTATTTGCTTTTGGCAGATCCTTCGTAACTATTACTGGAAATTGTCATGTATATGGCTTAACTAGAGTGTATGCAATATTCAGCCAGGCAAAACCTTGTTTATTTGTTCATTTATCAGTAAGACGATGTTTACCAATCAGGAATCAGTTATTATATGGCAAGGTAGTCTTGAGGTAGAAACGGTCAAAAGCTTTGTATTTTTTGTTTTCGAAAGCCACCAAAATCAAGGCCCTAGTAGACTACAAGTATTCCCTCTTTCGCTTAGTCGGTCGTGCGTGACGCGAAAGAAAACTGTGAGAAAAAAATGGCCGCACGAACTCCAGGTGGCGTAACTCCTTTCGCACGCGTCTCGCCTCCAGGATTTCACAAGGCCATTTTTTCCTCCCTGTTTATTTACTGTCTCGCTCAACGTACTAAGCGTAAGACGGACTACTCGAAGACTAGTCTAAGGCCCTAGAGCCACGTGATAAATACTTACTAACCTAGCTTGCTTGAGCCGTACGACCAAGGAACATTCCCTAGAATGTTCCTTGGTCGTTTTTGTATGGACCTCACGGCACTTGTTCCATACTGCCAACATTCCCCAGTGCGGCCCTTGTGCTTGGTTAGTAAGAGGTTATTATTCCCAGGAAAGGGTGCCCCTCCTCAATAGTTTTCATGCACACCTGTGTTAATCACTTGTCAGTGCTCCACTGTTCTTAACGCACTTGCACTTTTACTTTTATTTCTTCAAAATGAAAAGTTTCCATGATTTAACTATAGTAATTATAAAGTAATGTTGGTTTAATCTACAGTTTTAACTAATTATGTGTTACCCATTCCTTTAGCAAAAGGAGATTGAGAATGCTCAAAAGGTTAAAAAAGGTAGGTTTTGGGTTTTTTTTTTAGAGTGAGTAATAAAATAATAATCACATGTAACTGAAATCTTATCGTTTCTTGTACAATGACCACTTATGAAAATTTTAGCTTTGAAAACTTAAGTTACTGTTAAAGATTATTTCCTCTTTCCCATTTCTTAGAAAAGAGTTTTTGTTAGAGCGAACCGGAAATTACTTTTACCGGAAGTTATTGGTTACGCGCGCGGATTGATTGACATATTGACATGTAGAGTTGCAGTTAAAAGTTCTCGGATTTTGCGGAAGAGCGTTTACGCCGTGGAAAACTTGTTGTGTGGTCGTTTTGTTGTAGTTTTCTCGGGTAATTTTGTCAAGTGGAACTCGGGAGTTTTGGATTGTCAACCGGAAAAATATAGGTACCTAAGGAGAAACAGTTACTGGAGAAAAAGGTGTTGAACGCCCGTTCATCAGGGTCCTCATTTGAATGTCGAAAAGTAATTGGTTTTCCATTGCTATGCTACATGGTTGACTTAAAAAAGTCGCGACACTGTTTCACCCCATAAGAAGCAAAACCAAAACCAATCGTAACTCGTCTGCACAGGTTTTACCGCGCTTTGTGTCAGTTACATGTAGTTACTCCGAGTATTTATTCGTTCACTGTATGGTCTGTGTCTTTTGTGATTAGTTAGAGTGATAACTTTGGTTTTGATTTTACGACACTCAATTGAAAACCGCTCGCCTCTATTCTTTTAGTTTGTTGTTGTTTTGTTGATTGCACTTTTCTTTTTTTTTTTCTTCAGAAGCTGCCGAAGAAAAAGAAACAAAGTAAGTTTACTAGATTGTGATGTGTTCAAAGCATGTAAAAGCGATGTCAAGATGTTTTTGATTCGCTAAAAGCCGTCTGCTCTGATTAGTATGTTATCACAGTCAACACAAATGCCAAAACTAACAAAAACTCGTGATAATCGAGGTTGATAATTTCGAGCTCTAAATTCTAGGTGTGCCTGTTCTAATAATCTTCGCAATCAAAACCGAAGAAGGAAACGGAGAGATAAAATCGTAGAACTCTATGCTTATAAAGGTCAGATCAACCTACCCGTACGATTTGGTTCCCTTTGTACTCTGTCAAAATTTTAGCGCTATTTTGAATTTAAGTGCAGAAAAATGTCCCCTTTAAGATTAGGCTAAATTGATGTAGGATTACAAACGATAAGCTGTAACGATTTACTCAGGTTAAGTACGCCATCCGTGATATTGCTTTTTATACCATGCCATAGAAAATACAGCATATCAGAATACAGCAAAGCTGTCATCATGCGCGTATGTCTCATTGATTGTGTTGGCCACTGTATTTTCTATGGCATGGTTAACAGTTATTCACCGAAGTGGAGGTGAATCTCTATCACTTTCACCGACACTGAGGTGAATAATTGTTTTAGTATATACCACACGAGCTGAATAATTAGCGGACCAAAACGTTATTTTATGTGTGACAAGCGGTCGGAAATTTTAAAATCTCTCGCGCAGGCTGCTCTAAGGTGAATAGTACTTGCTAATCACCTCCGAGTTAACCAATCAGAGCGAGCGAAAAGCACTATTAACTTGTGTGGTATATACTAATATAAAATAGATATGCAAAAAGGCTCGTGTGTATACCGAGAAAATACGTGACAAGTGGGATATTCCAGGGTATAGTGAATACCACTCCAAAGTGTTGCATAACTGCTATCTATTTAACATCTGGTGTGTTGTGTGACATTTTAGAAGAGATCATTCCAGCTCACGTTCACGCTCAAGGTCACGCTCAGCAGGGAAGGAAAGCAAACGATCACGTGACAAGAACAAAGGACGCAAGCGCAGTCGGTCCAAGTCCTCCGCTTCTCGCTCCCGTTCCCGGTCACATTCCAAGTCACGGTCGCGTAGTCAGGAAAGACGAAGACGATCCCGTTCTCGCTCACCTCGTCGTGTTACTTCGTACAACCGAGGTCGGTGGTCGCCTTACAGACGCCGCAGGTCGCCGTCTCCAAGAAGGTGGTCCCCTCCTAGGCGAAGGTCACCGCCTCGCCGAAGGTACAACTTGATATTGTAAAGTTGACTGAATGTGGGAGACAGCGGTGTCCTACACAGACCCGCCACTTCAGAAACTTTATGGAGACTGGGTGCCAAAAACTTCATGGAGACTGAGCACCAGCTTTGCGCACTAGCGCCTCTCTAATATAGATAGCCACATAGCGCACGATTTTCCAGATTTCTATTAGTGAATCTTTCGATGTGTGCATAAGGGCAATAAGAACCGAATCCAAGACTAGTGGAAGACAGTTTCCTCGAGTCGTTTAACCGTGTTTCCGCTGCACTACCCTTGCATTTATAATTACATTTATAATTTCTTTTATCGTTTGGTTCACTTGCGCAACCTGTGACTGGATAAGTCAACCGTCGATTAATCATAGTTTATTCAAATGATCCCAAACATCCTTCTTTCATAAGGTGGTGCCCAGTCTCCCCAAGGTTTGATAAGTGCTTCGAATGACTGTGTTGCGTGCCGCAAGTCAACAAAGACATTCTGTAAAGTTGAAAAAGTTCCAAAATCAGTTGAAAAGCAAACGGCAGAGGTTTGTAAAGCAAAATGCTCTTTTTGTTGCTTTAAAGGACATTTGTGCTATCTAGTGGCTTACAATTACTGAAGAAAACGTCCGAGTTCTTACAGAAGGGTTAGGTTTTGACAAAATGTGATCTTTCCCCGTTTAAATGATCAACACAATAACTTTTTGACTGGTTGGCGTTGTTTTTAGTAAAAGAATTGAACCTGCAATTGTAACTAAAGCAGCTTTGTGGAATGTTGTTTCTAGGTCTCGCTCTCGTTCACCACGCCGGAAATCACGTCGATCTCCATCTCCTCGCCGCCGGTCACGCTCTGTGTCAGCATCGTCACGGTCACGCTCTGCAAGTTTTAGCTCACGATCGTCACGCTCGCGCTCAGGCTCTCCGCGCCCCGAAACAACGGGTAAAGAGAAAAACGAGAAGGGTAAAGAGAAGGATAAAGAAGTCAAAAAAGAAAAAGAGGAAAAGAAAGAGGAGGAAAAAGGAAAAGAAAAGGAGAAGTCAGTAAGTCCGGAAAAGACTAAAGCAAAGGATTCTCCAAGTCCGCCGCCCACACACCACCGATCAACTTACAAAAAGCAGGAACAGCAGCAATCTCCCGTTAAACAGCCTTCCCCGTCATCTTCCTCGTCATCTGCCTCATCTCCACCCCCTCAGGTTAAGGAGGAGAAAGAAGAGAAGGAGGACAAAGAGAAGTCGCCTCCTCTACCTAAATCCAAGAAAACTACGAGTCGCCGTTACCGAAAACACTCACCATCTCCCACCTCGTCAGAAGGGGAGTGGTCGCCGGAGAGAAAGAAGAAAACTGACTCCGCTAAAGATCGCAGAAAGGAACGAGAGAGAAGTGAATCTCCGCGGGATAAGAGAGGAAAGCGGAGGGATTCCTCACCTTCCCCCAGAAGGAGGAGAAGGGATGACTCACGTTCACCCTCCCCTAGACGAAACCGAAGGGAACATTCGCGTTCACCGTCTCCTCCCCGAAGGCGACGCCAAGATATACGCTCCTCTTCTCCCCGAAGGAGGAGAAAGTCTGACTATTCACCGTCGCCTCCCAGAGAAAGACGTCGTCGGCCCGAGCCATCCCCGCCGCGAAGCAGGGAGCGTAGAAAGGAAAGGATGTCGCCCCCACCCCCTCGTAGACCCCGTCGATCAAGTTCATCGCCTCCTGTTACTCGTCGGGTAGATTCATCACCACCGTCGGGTCGCCGTCGTGTTGAGAGGTCACAGTCGGACGATAAAGCGCGGAAAGAACGTCGCCGCTCTCCAGAGCCTGAGAAAGGACCTGCTCGGAGAAGGAAGCGTTCTGAGAGATCTCGATCGTCCACTGGCTCGCCTGAGCCCCCTCAGAAACCTCAGGCCGAGGCTGATTCGGTGAAGAAGTCACAGACACGGGAAGCAAGACGGTCCTCGTCGTCCTCGGCCTCTTCCGAGCCGCCAGCATCTGCAAAGAAGAAGCCGAGGGAGACTCGGGAATCTCCTGTCAGAACCCCTCCTAAAGAGGCAACCAGGTCAAAAGGAGAGCGGAAGAGACGCTCACGGTCAGCCTCACCTCGTGTGGAAAGTCGGGATCGGAGACGAGTGGTACGAAAGTCACCCTCTATGTCACCCGAGAGGTAAGAGTTGGGGATTTGTTCTATGTCAGAGGCTTGTGGTGTTGTATAATAAGAGCAGATAGAGCGGTTTTCAGTGGATTGTCGAAAGTAATCAGGCAATTAGTTTGGTTTTGGTTTCGGTTTTGTTCTTACTGTGGTTTGAGATTGGCTCAGCAGTCTAATTGGTAAGTAATTAGTTTAGTTTTGGTTTTGCGACACTCAATTGAAAACCTCAGTTTTCCTCTGTTTTGCTGGGTTACACTTCTTAACTGTAGATCATTTACTGTCACGCGGTCAAATTTTGTCAGTAACAACATTAAAAATATGGAGGTTACAGAACAGTCCGGCATCTTTAAAATGGGCTCCAAAGAAGCAGGCTGATTGTTCTTATTAGACAAGTGTCTGCTAATATAGAGGTTTAGATTATACATGAATTCTGGTCTCTTTGGGACCAATGAAACTGTCGGTAATAGAGGTGTCTGTGTTATAAACGCGTCTGGTAGAAGAAGTTCGACTTAGGGTTGCTACGGGTCATGGAAAACCTGGAAAGTCATGGAAAAGCAATATACTTTTTGAGAATAAAAAGGCTAAAAGATCGGTTACAATTCCAGTAAAAACGACATTAACATTGAAACGCCTTCTGTGCGTCATAATGTGGGAAAATACCTTAAATAGTAGATTGTTTTTACCATACTTTAAGAACAACTGCTTAACATAGGTTATGGAAAACTCAGAAACGTCGTGGAAAGTCATGGAATTATAAAAGTTCAAAAGAGTACGAACCTTGTGACGACGGTATACTGTTGTTGAAGCTACAATTTATTCTCACTTTAAATTTATTTATCACTAAGTTTGGGCGAAAGCATGTTTGGGAAATTACAACACTTAGCACCGGTCCTTCATCAAGTTTGGCATTGGTTATTTATGACGCTTTTGTGTTTTGTTTTCTCCTGTTTGTTTTTAGGCCCAAAAGTCGAAAATCAGTACAAGCTGCTTCGGCCTCGCCTGTCCGTAAAACCAAGTCTCGTACAAAGCGCTCCGCGTCAGCCTCACCACCACCCCCTAAGGCTGCCAAGTTACAGGGCTCAAGGCGTTCGCCTTCATCTTCTCCCGAACCAGAAGTTAAACCCAGACCCCGCGCTACCAAGCAATCTCCCAAACCGTCTGCTTCGCCAGAACCTCGTCAACAAGCTCGCTCGGCCAAGCGAAGTCCCTCGGAATCTCCGCCGCGTGAACGGGCCAAGCGTAAAGCAGCCGCCAAGAGGTCTTCCAGCGAGAACAAGTCTCCAGAGCCCCCGCCTAGAAAGGCCCGTCGAAGCCCCTCTGTGCCAGAAGAAGAGGTTCCCAAGAAGTCCGCTAGTAAATCCCCTCCACCTGCTAAGGTAATTATTGCGACAACGAAGCTTTATGTTTGTCATCTCCTACAGAGCAGCTTTGTAGCAATTATTCGAGTTATGGGCGGATTTTTGATGCCGACGTTATGGAACCAATTTCGAACGACCATGTTATTAGTTTAGTTTAGTTCACGTGATCTTCTTAGAGTCTAAGAACAAAGTAATCTGTATGAAAATGTTCCCGCGTTGATAAATTGCACACGAAGTTGTTAGACTTCCAGTAGTCCCTCTTAAGCCCCCGCCAAACGATCACAACATTTCAACGCAGCATATCGCAACATTGTTGGGTCAAATTTGAAACTGGTCAAAT